ATGTCGTATCTGGCGGTCGATATTTTTTTCAGTTTTATGAGTGAATATATAGATCAGCGGTTTGTGATCAGTAAACAAAGTGGTAAGTTGTCCCTCGATCGAGTGTAGAAAATGGCGTATACTTGCGTATGCGGCGAGCAGTTCGCGATCAGGTGTTCTGTACTTTTTTTCGGGTCCGGTAAGCCTTTTTTGAGTAGAATCCCAGTGGTCGTCAGCTTTAATCGTAAAACTGTTTGAAAACAGCCCCTATGGCCGTATTAGAAGCGTCGGTATTTAGACGGAGTGGTACGTTGGGCAGCGGGTGGACTAGCTCTGCCGTATCCGCTAGCGCGTCTCATTTGTTCATGACGGTCCGTCGCGTTTTTTTATCTGCGTGGTGAGGTCGAAAAGCGGTGCTTGCAGCTCCCCGGCGTTTCGGATAAAGCGTCGGTAAAAGTTTACGGAACCCAAAAATCTCTGCAAACTTTTTTTTGTTTCTGGTAGTGGCCATTCGTTGATTGCCGTGATGCGTTCTGATGTCGGTCGGCACATATCTTAGTTGAAGTTGTGACCCAAAAAAATTAATGAGTCGACGGCGAAAACACACTTTACAGGATTAATGGCGATACCGTAACTTTGACAACGTTCGAGGATCGTGCGGACGTGCTGCTCATGTTCCTCGTGATTCCGTGCGCGATTAATACGTCAATGTAGGCGAATGCAAAATTTAATCCGCGCAACATGTCATGGATCAAACGCTGAAATGTCTGTGTGGCATTGCGCAAGCCAAAACACATTACGGGAAATTCGAATAAGCCGAACGGTGTCGTTACGGCCGTCTTCGGTATGTCTAGTTTGGCGACAGGTATTTGATGTTAAGCTCGAACTAAGTCGAGTTTAGTAAACACCGTGCTCCCTGCTAGATTCGCGGTAAAATCATGAAGGTGGGATAATGGGTAACGGTCCGCTCTCGTTACTTCATTTAGTCGTTGATAATCTTCATATGGTCGAAAGGCACAGTCCTTTTTTGGTACAAGTAGTAGTGGGCTGGCCCAAGCGCTGGCAGATGATCGGCAGATGCCTTTTTGACACATGTACTCGAATTCTTGACGCGCAATGCAGTGTCGATCCGGTGGTAGACGGCGCGGGCGCGAAAATAACGGGGAACCGGTGGTGTGGAGCTCGTGTTCGATTTGATGTAGGAACTTATCCGGGACCGGTGACTCACGTGTAACACTAGGGAAACTTTTTAAAATATTAGTCCACTTTTGAGGTAAAGGTATGGCTTTAACGGCATCTACGACGGTGTCCACGATGGAGATAGTTTTTACGAACTTGTTGGTGACGGCGCCGATCAGTCTCTTGTGTCGCACGTCAACCAGTAGGCCAAAGTGATATAAAAAATGTGCGCCAATTATCGGTCGAGCGACGTCCGCTGTCTCGAAAATCCAAACGGATTCGCGTGAGAAACCGAGGTTGAGTGGAGTCCTTTTGGTCCGTATGTCGCAATACGAGTGCCGTTCGCGGCGCTCAACACTATGTCCGATGTGCGGCGTGGGCCGTTGTCTGGTGATATAATGGAGATCTCGGCACTGGAGTCGATGAGAAAGCGTCTGCCGGAATGGACATCGTTGACGAACAGTCTGTAGGCGTGATGATCGGCGGGAGGTGGACTGGCTTCCGCTGCTTCCATCAGTTTTCCGACTTGTATGCGCACGACTCACGGTAATTTCGTGCCTCAGCTCCGTAGATGATGTGATAAAAACATCATGTGTCATTGTATGTACGGGACTTTGAATGATTGCGAGATTTTGAGCGCGATCTTTCCTGGGTGTGAGCAGGTCGACTTTACGCAGTCTGTACGGAAATTAACTCGAAAATCTGTGTGGTGAGTGCCGATATCGCATTTTCCATAGCATGCAGGCGGTCGATTTCGTGCGAAATGACAGATAAGTTATGACCGACGCTTGCGTCCGCGACTCGGTCGCCAAAACTCTTTTAGCGTCGACTCGCCGACTCCGCTCGGTAACGCGCTACGCATGTCGCGCAACAACTGGGAGGGGCGTCGATTACCCATGCCTCCGTGTTGAATGATCCAACGGTACCGCGTGGCTTGTGGGACGTCATATGCGGTAATTAAACGGCTTTTAACTGCGGAATATTGAACATTGGAGCCGAGTAAATCTCCGATAGTGCGCACGCCATTTTCGTCAAGCGCGGCAAGCACATGGTTAACGCACAACAGGTTGAACCTAAACAAATGGCTCCAAAATCCGGGTAGTCATACGGATGCGAATGCGTTAAGTCTAAGGGCATTTTTGCCGACGGATCAGTAGGCGCGAGGGGACACGGAAAATCACCGGTGTTTGTATTAGCACCCGCGATGTCTGAGTTCGAGACATTCGTGTTCGCACTCCCGTTCGTATTCGAGTTCGTATTGTCGGTACTCGAGTTGGTGGTGCCGAGCGACCAAACGTCTCCCCAATCTTGCATAACGCGTGGAGATAAAAGGAGAGAGAAAAAAAAATGTACAGACGTAGATGGTCTAACAAAATATCCGAAGTCACCTATTTGGTTTCGTGTATATCGATACCAATTAAATAAAAGAAACAATATTTAAAACGCTAAGACTGTTAGGCTAAAAGGTACGTTTATTATAAAACGACAAGAATTATAAACAAAATATAATAAGTTGTAGGTTATCGCAAAAATGCGTGTCGAGCAAAAAACGTACGAGCGACTAGATGGGCGGAGGTAATGCTCATGGAGGCCGACGACGATCAGCGCGTGCGACCGTATAAAATGTGAAAGGAGGGGGACACGCAGCTGACGTGTTACCGCGGTTACTAACAACAATATTGTGGGTCACCACAGAACCATTGATAATAAAGAATGGATAGGCCATTGCTATATTAAGGAAGTTTGTCGGAATGGGGAAGAGAGAAAAACAGATTTTATCAATGCCTCTCAGTCTAGCAGAGGTCTTATCAACAATTAAATTTTGTGATTATTATCATTGCTGGACGCATAGATAATATATATTGGAAATTATAAATTATAATAAAAACATTAATACATAATATTAAATATTATTATTTATTATAAATGTATATTAGATAATAATATAAATATAATTGTAATAATTGTACCTGTTGGCTGTTACCTACATTGTTATTATTTATTTTATCATTTGATTTATTTACTCTTAAGTCCTATTTGAATATTTATATTAGAACTATGGTTCATATTTTCAGAGTTTGTAATATTTCATCTAAGGATAATAAAGATTTACCATTTCATAGGTAGGGTCATAGTCCCTTATGGGTTATTTTAAGTTCAGATGATGAGTCTTGTACACCAATTACTTGAACTTCTGAATCTGATAATTATTCATAGTGTATGTTTTTTTATTAAAAGTTAAAATTAAGTATAACTATTACTAGCATTACTAAATAAAATATTAACTATGCCTGTTTTCTAGTGCCAATGTTGTACATATTTTGTGTATTATTCTAATAATTATTAATTTGTCTCCTCATTTAATTCTATGTAGGTGTATGACGTTTGTGTGACAATGTGTTAATTTAATTAATCCAATTATTTTGTATTTAATACATTTAATTTGTCTATAGTCTCATAATGTAGGGTGATCATAGTATTATTGTTAACTAAGTACGTGGGACACGACACTTAATTTTGCTTAGGATGTATAATTTATACTTATGATTTGGCTATACAAGTATACAACAATGCAACATTATAATTTATTACACTATTGCCATAGTTTATGGTTGTAGAAATTTCATGCATTGCATTTGGAATATAAATAGTATTAATTATAAATAATAATCTAGTAGTAAAGCAAATGTTTCACTATATATATATGTTGTAATCAAACATAAAAATTGAGTTATAAATATCAGAATATCCATACTTTATTTTTATGATTGAATAAGGTTCATTGGATAAAGGTGTATCCTGACATTTTTATTATTTTTCATGAGAGCAGTACTAGATAATAAAATGTTTTATGCTTACTTTTGATCAGTCCACCATGTTTATTCCCATATAAATACATATTTAAGATTTTATTAGTGAAGGCACATGAATATATTTAATTTATTTAACTCATCAAGTTCAGAACTCTGATAATAATAAGATATAAAACATTTATTCATGTAATAAATTAATTTTCAAAAAATATTAATATCTATCCACTGCCCCATTTCATTTATGGTATTGGCCTTTTTATATTTATTTAGTAAGTTGTATGAAATTATTAAAATAAAATAAACAATTTTTACAGATTTGAAATTCCTAGTAGGAGAGTCCTTAGTAGGACAATCATACCAAACATATTTTTGTCTGTGCAAAATAAAGTACAAGCTTTACTACACGAAGCAATAGATGTAGCAATTACAACAGATATTTGGACTTCATTAAACACAGATTCTTATTTAACCATGACTGTTCACTTTCTTAGTAAAACAGTTTTAAAAACTTTAGTTTTATGCACAAAAAAATTAGAAAGCAGCCATACTGGTATATATCTATCACAAATAATGACTGAAGAACTTCATAAATGGAATATATTTAATAAAGTTGTCGCAGTGGTAACAGATGGTGCACCAAATATGAAATTAGCTGTTAGACAAATGAATCTATTGTTGTGGGCTATCACATATTCCTAGAAACATGTATAATTAGAATTATGCGTAACACAATATCATAGGTATTGCACAACTATATTTGATTAAGTTAAACTAGTAATATATATTAAAATATGTAATCTATATTCCTAGAAACATGTATAAAAAGAATTGTGCGTAACACAATATCACAGAAACACATTTAAACTACATTTAATTAATTGGACATAAACCAGTGATATACATTAAAATATGTAATCTACAGATTAATGAAATAGGTCAAACAAACAATGGCCTATTGCTAAATAAGGAATAAATGCCGAAACAACAAGACCAATGACGTCAATCAATCCATATAAAAGAGGGATCAAAATGACCACAAGGCAGATGAGTTCTAGTCACGGAACAGCAAGCTACTCCACGTCACTTTGTATTAGAATTTTGTTAAACACTTTGAGTATTAAAATAAATGTATTAATGTATTAAAAGTCTCATGTTTATTTAAATTAAACACATCTTCGACTTGCAACACTTGAAATCGAGCCGGTGGCACGTAACACTATCCCATATACCATGCACAGATCATAAATTAAATTTAGTTGTCCAACAGGCTCTTAAGCTATGTGACGATGAAACAGTCGGGTCTGAGAACAATAATTCAGATGAAGAGGACTTGAAATTAATTTTGAAAAAATGTCGTAGCATAGTTGGATTTTTCAAACGAAGTGAAGTTGGAAATCGAATGTTAGCCGAAAAGCAGAAACAGCTAGGAAGTTCAACAATTTTGAAGTTGAAACAAGATATAAGTACTCGTTGGAATAGTACGTTTTTTATGTTGGAAAGGCTCATAAAATTAAAAGAACCCATAACTATTGTGATGATTAATTTAAAAGAAGCTCCAAATAATCTTGAGTCAGATGAATGGAGCATCATCGAGGATGTAATACCTTTATTAAAACCTTTTAATAATTTAACTGTTGAACTTTCAGCAGAACAATATCCAACTATATCTAAAGTTATACCATTGATACGAGGTAAATCATTAATTCTTTTTTTTTTCATCTCTAACTAACTACCTACTTTTTAAAGATAATTAATATTATTATATTAATATTTATTATTTATGAATTATAGGTTTGCAATGTTCATTAGGGTTAAAATGTCCAAAAACACGCCAAGGAAATTATATTAAAGAAAGGCTTTTAGAAAATACTTCTAAACGTTTTGATGGAATTGAAAACCAAACCATCACACCACATTTTTCTCGGGCGACTTTACTGGACCCAAGATGCAAAAAGGTTGCATTTGGGTTGACACAAAATGCGAATGATGCTGAGATTAACTTAGTTTCTGAAATATCCACTTTGATGAGAAATGTTTCAAACACTGGTAAATGATAAGTATACAAAATATAAGTGAATATTGAATAATATATTGAAACAAAAAGGTTTAAATATCATGTTAAATAATTTTAGAACAAGCTGCCGTTGAAATAAATACAAGTGAAGATGATGATAGTGTATGGTATTTCCTTCAATCCAGAGTCAGTACTGTACAGTCTCAAACAACAACGACAAGTAGTGCCATTGCTTTAATGAAACAGTACTTAGGAATGCCTTATCAAGGGTTGAATTGCAACATGGCAACATATTGGAACGAGCACAAGTTAGTATTAGCCCCACTCAGCAACATTGCATTAAAATACTCCATTATACCAGCGACCTCAGTGCTATCAGAGAGAATTTTCTCAAAAGCAGGGCAAATAATAAGTGCTCGGCGTAATCGACTACTGCCCAAAAATGTAGATATTTTAATTTTTTTAAACAAAAACATGTAAGTATTAGTATTTAAATTTTTGATTTGTTTGAATATTTCTTTAATTTTGTTTAAATTTGTTTTATTATGTTATGTTTTAAATTTATCCTAGGTATTTTATGTTTTAATTTTGTTTTAATTTGTGACAATTGACAAAGTTTATTTTGTTTTAATAAAAGATTTTTTAATTTAAATATATTTATTTTCTTATTTTACCCTAAAAACATATTCAACTGGTTTGAATTTTACCACTGGAAGGTCATTGACCATTGTACTCTTCAATGATTTGAAGGTATTTAAAAAGACTTATTTTAATAAATTACAGTTTTAACAGAAATATTTTCAAGTTACTTTAAAGTAACTAATAAGGTGTGAAAATGAGTATTTAAAATATGAAATATATTAAAAACTAAATAAAAGTATAGTATCTACTTAATGTTTTAAGAATTGTAAAGAAAATATTTATTCCTTGTAAAAAACACATTATTTTATAATTATAATTATTAATTACCCATATGATAATATAACAATATGCCAATACTTACGTAGGCATATAATAAATTATATACATCTATATAATCTATCAACATTATATAATAGCAATACACTTTACTAAGAAATCAAAAAAAGATAATTTCAAAGATTACAATTTCTCTGTTGTCTTCTTCATTATGTACATATTCTTCAGTTAGTTCATGGAGCCAACCTGCAATCACATGCAAAGGCTCTGAGCCGGTCCTGACCTTATCCAGTTGGGGCCGGTAAGGTTAGAGGTGGCCTGCTCACAGTCGAGCAAAGCCCTAAGAGAAGGAAAACCCGGTTAGTATTGTCTCGGGAGGCGGCACGATCAGCAGCATGGTCTCATGAAACGGAACTATGACTATCTATTTACTATATAGTATTTATTATTTAGTATTCAAGCCTCAAGGCTCACGCATTAAAATACTCGATAGTTTCGATTGTTTTCTAAAACTATATAATATTCATACAGTGAAATAGGTACACGATAGTTTCGATTGACTCGATTGTTTTCTAAAACTATCTATTCATGCAATGAAATAGGTATTCGATAGTTTCGATTCACTCGATTGTTTTCTAAAACTATCTATTCATGCAATGAAATTTCACTCGATACTTTGAAAAATATTGGATAATTAATACTATCGTTCTTTTCAATAATCACTCGGTAGTTTATGAAACTATCGATGGACTATCGATAGTACAAACTAGTCGGTAGTGCCCATCACTAATAAAAACGTTTAATATTCATGGTTATCATCGTAATTTATACGTATTGCAATTTATATCTGGATATCTTGGACTTTATAAATTCAATAGGTACTCGCAATTAGCGTTATCGTAATCGGCGATAATGTAATTGGTCGTGTTTTCACTGAATGACCTAATTGCGTTCCTTATCGACGCTGTTTCAATAACGCCGATACGTCCTTTTGTCGAGCCGAAAAACGTTTTATCCATATAATACATGGATAATCACATGTCATGCATTACCTCAACTGTGTGTGTGTGTGTGTGTGTGTATGTATATATTTTTGTCACTTATGAAATTATTGGATTAAATATTAGTGCCCGTGTCCGTAATAGAAAGAGTCCGTTATAGACAGGTCAAAATACATTAGAATGCCTATCTTTTTGCCGGGACCTGGTCATTTTGTCCGTTAAAAGAGGTGTCCGTTAAGTCAGGTTTCACTGTATCTAATTAGTTTGTTATCATCATTGCCGAGTATAATATATAATTTTATTTGATATAATGCGTAATTATTATACAATGTAAATAATATACAGTTTGCATTTAAATTAATTTTATAAATTATAATATTATGGCACATAAATGATCATTTAACATTTTGTAAGTGGAATTTAGTAATCAAAATCATTTGTAAGAAAAAAATACAAATATTTCTATAGGTACATTCTATTATTATAAAAGACAAAAACACTATCACTGGTGAGTGAAGTTAAAATTTAAATAATATTTAAGTATTATGTTATTTTATTATTTAGAAAAACATTTTCAGAAAATTAAAAAAAAATATCAAAAATTCAGAATGTCTTAAGACATCAATGTGTTAAGAAGTAATTTTATAACTCTTTTCTTATGTGAAATACATATAATATGTAAATGTAAAAATGTAATATATAAAATAAACCTTTAATATATTATCTACACTCTTCATGTTGCATACATAATTCATTAATTCAAGTTTGGGATATTCATTTATTAGGCTTTGTATATAATGTATAATGTAATTTATGGTTTTATCTATAACGTTATGAATCTAGGTATACACACTGTTCTGAATTGTTAAATGACAAATGAAGACAAGTTAAAATGACTTAATCCTAATGTAGGTATTTATATAAATAACTAGCTGAATTACCCGGCTTCGCCCGTGTGTAGTTTTTGTTTTATC